TATTTTCATACCAATTTGATGGTAAGCATTGTCTTCACATTTTGAAGGACTATTTTGAGAACCCTTATTATTCTCCTTTTATAATCATAGGATGATTATAATCATTTTGATATTTGGAACACCCCTGTTCATCGTTCAACCACTTGTCTTCATTGAAACTTATTATGCATTGTTAACACATTCACTTCAAGAATGGAGCAAATCAAGTGGGACAATTTTCATGCCTTTTCATGAAAAATATATTATTTTTCTTTAGTCATCATTATATCATCAATATGGTACATTGGGACCCAAACCCAATGTCTTACCAATATAAAAGCATGTTAGGCCATAATAAATTGGGACTCAAATCCAACTCTTATCATTATGGAGTATCAGGACTTGATCCCGATGTCTTATCCTCAATTAATGGCATAATAGGCTAAACAATATTGAGATTCATTCTCAAGCCTTAATTTCAATCACATGCCAAGAAAGTTATACACAACTAATTTGCAACTTAGCAAATCAAATTTGCTTTCTTAAATAAGTGTACAAATCTCAAATCAGCGTAAAGCTTTATTAATTATTTGTAGCATCTATATGAAATACAATCGTTTGTAGTCAGAATATTTCTTCTAAATTCTATTAGAGTTTAAAAGGATCATAAAATCATTGTCATAATATTTATTGAGTCTCTCTCAAAAATATTGTTGTTTTCGGGGTATACCCTACCTATTGGATTTGATTTAACGCCATGACTTTCCTTCACTCAATTCAACCAAGCAATTAGTGAATAAATTTATCAAAAGTATATCATATAGGTAACAACACATATATAGTACTAATACATAAATTCAGCATTTATATTACCTGAAAAGTGACATTATAGGTAACAACTTACCAGTTGTAGCTTGTGCACCATTCATATAAAATACTTGAAAATGGTAAGTCAATAGCAAACATCAAGTAGGTTATGGATACTCAAAAATACCTCTTTTAGTAGTCATACTAATCATTGTTTGCTTTCAAATGATACGACCATAAATTATGAAGTATATTTTCTCAATAGCTGGTTTGTTTTCCAAACTTCAAAGAAGTAATTAATCAACCTAGATAAAGATGTGAAGTATTTCTTGTTTTCTTCAAGATGATTTATGCTTTTAATCAGTATGACCAATTTTATTTTATTTTTTCTTCCTTTTTTTTTGGTACTATATGCAAGTGTAAAAATCCAAAAGGAAAAAAAAATATTCATCCAAGTAAAAGAAAATGTTTAAAGCGGCAGAACAGATTGAAGATAGTTAACACATAAATATGCATAGGACAATTTATATAAATATCCTTGGTTAACATGACATGCATCATATCAACAATTAACTGCTACTGTGATTTTCACATATAGAATTTCGAAAATTTTATTCCATTCATGTGATATAAAAGATGTAATATTAATATGTGCTTATGCAATACAGGTGTAGTACAAAGTTGTGTGCATATGCGATTTTAAAGGAATGACAAGTATAAGATAATCATACCTTCTTACATTTCATTACTTACCATATGTAGTTTCTCTTTACATTTAACCATGTGATGATATGTATGACTTCCAATTGTAATCTTTCCGGATGTAGAAAAAAATTTGTAGATATATATATACAATTAGTTAGAGACTCGTGCTGATAACGTATTATGAAATAAAAGCAATTTAGTAAAACACGAACAAGAAATAAAGACAATTTAGTAAAACATGAACAAGAAATAGAGATAGAGAGAAAGGAAGAGATTTTCTTCTTAAATTGTGTGTATTTTCCTTTATATTACAAGACCTTTATATAGGCATGAAAAGTGAAGAAAATATGTCATGGAATATGTCATTGAACATAGAAAATATGTCATTGAATATGTCATTAACCATTTGAGAGAAAGATCATGGAGGAAGAGTAGACATCCACCATATTTTGATTTTTATCGTAACATATACTATTTTGTATGAAATTTTATGTTAAAATTAATTGCTTCTATACACAAGCAACACAAGTCACACAACCAAACGACTGAGCCCGTTTGGCCATGGATTTTTTTTTTACTTTTTTCAAAAAATTTTAACTTTTTCAGAATTAGTGTTTGGCCATATTAAGTTGAAGATAAATTTTGAATTTTTTCTAAAATCACTTAGATCACTCACAAAAAACTATTTTTCAAAATGTTCACTCAAATTACTCATAAAAATTCAAAAATAACCCAAAATTATATTCATGTACAAACACAACTCTCATTTTCAAATACCATTTTTACTTTTTTCGAAAATTTACAATTCTTATGTCCAAACGACCACTAATGTACAATCAAACTCTCTATAAAAGCCTCTCTATAAAAGCCTTATTTGTTCCAAATTTCTTTGACTGCTATAGTGAAATGTTATTACAGAGAACATATGCTATAGTGTAACTTGACTTTATAGTGAATAATTGTTATATAACAATGTTATAGGAAAGTCTAAGGGGTCGTTTGGTAGAATGCATTAGAGAAAATAAGGCATGCATTAACTTTTGGTACTATCAATACCTTGTTTGATACACTTTTTCAACCTATGCATTATTAATGCAAGTATTAGTTATACAACCTATTTGGTATTATCCTATGTATAACTAATACATATCAAGCCATGTTATTAGCAATACCAAGGCTATTAATGCATGCATTAGCATGGTTAAAGACAAAATTATCCTCAACGTCACTTAAAGCTAAAGAATATGGAGGACATTTTTGTAAACAACTAAAATCTTAAAAATTATATAATGCATAATCTCTACATAACTAATCCCTGCATTACTAATACACCTTATTCAGCACTATTCGTATACGTCCTACCAAACGATCCCTAGCTGTATTAGTAATAAAGTGACAATTTCCTCGGTTAGTTAGGCACTAACAGAAGACTATATCTTGTATGTCAGGAAATATTTCTCTAATATAGAGAGCAATTGTCTATTGGAAATTTGAAAAAAACACCAAAAGAAATGGATCTATGCAAAAACCATATAACAAGACGAATAATGACATTCCATAGAAAAAGGGTAGCTTTATAAAAGTCTATATATCAGATATATTCTGCGGCACAAATCAACGCCAATATCAAGCAATTGATACAATCATTTTAACGCTAAGATTGCCCTGCCATATATCATCATTGCCGCTTTGAGAAAATGAATACATAATTCCAAGAAATTAGGATCCTTTGGACTAGGCTCATAAATCAGAATGAGGTCCAACTGTCCAATTACTACTACTACCAGTAGCGAAGCCACATGGTCAAAGGGTGATCAACTGACACTACAACTACTATTGTTAATGGTCTACTTGAGTTCTCTCGCACCTGCCATGGCTGCATATAACAGTAATTAATGTTGCCCCGCCAAGATAGAGGCAACTGTACTGCAATGCCCGATTTCAGTTGGCTCAGCAAACATTATCATCATAGCCCCATCATTTCCCTTTTCCGACATCATTGATGTGATACTTTGCTTGCTTTGCATTGAAATGCAGCCGATGAGGAGAAGATAAGAACTGAAACAAACGACACAAAGGATTGTTAGTATTGAGGAGAAGAGTGACACATGACAGTCACGTGAGTTAGTGTAGTTAGCTGAAGGTTAGTTATAACTAATTATGTGGTTAGTGGTTAGATAGTAAGTGGAGAATGATTAGTCGAGCTGTCATACACATTGTATATAAGTAGGACATATTTCCTTGTATTCAGTTTTTTACAGAGTGAATATACAATCATTTTCAGCTCACATGCTCTCCAATGTATTCTTCATTCTACAACCTTCTTGTTTATTTTCTTCTTAGCTCCAGTTGATCTGATCTACGAGCTTCAGCAGTTAGGTCTAAAGCAATAAAAGAAATCATCCGCATGTCAGAGATAGTCATCCACTCTGAGAATCATCGCTCAAAGCCTCAAGGTTAAATTAAGGTCTTTCAGTTAAATTTTCTCCACAAAAGAGGAGCCGTTTGGTTTGAAGCATAAAATCATCAGACATCGGAGAACGCAAAACACACCAGAACTGAAATTTCACCAAAATGGGTATGAGGGCTCAGCTGATACTGAACAGATATGGAGATATATTAGGACAGCAATATGATATATAACTTGGTTCGACATATCCCAACATTCAACCATGGAAAAGATTCTTTTTTTTTTTGTCTTTCAAGCATGTAATGATGAGGCAAAGAGAAGCCAGCCACGCCAAGGCTGCAAACACCGGCCATACCGGCTTGCCACGCCAATATACAGGTCAGTTAATCTCAGTGCCCGAATTAGTTAGCCCAGATATAGAAACACCATCATCACGGCCTCTTCATGTACCTTCCATTAACACCGGAAAAAAAAAATATCTACACTTACACAGATGAAAGACAGAGATGTCAGTATATATAGGTTAAATCCTTTATGCATTTTCCAGTTTCTGTTTCTGCTATTCAATAAACAAGGGCTGTTGGTTGTTTAATATTGAGGAAAATCAATGGTGCAATAGAGCAGGGCAACCACCCTTTAAGAAAATCCCAAGCCCTGTTTTGCCTCATTTCTTTCTGGGATAACCATTTCTGATTATGGGATTTTTTTGGTCTTTTCACCTCCGAATTTCCCAGCACTGTCTTGTATATAAATCCACCGTATAATTAAAGATAGTGCAAGATCATATTAGCTCTGCACAAAGGGCCATAGGAGAAGTAGAGATCAAATAAATCATACACAAAAGCCCAAGCAGGAACAACATCAAAAATATATATCCATATTCTTCGCGTACAATCAAATATATCAATTGATCAACCATGAGGAGCCCCATAGTTGATGGTATAATATGATTAAAGCTGTTTGTAACCAAAGTGAAATCATAGGCTTACCAGAGAAGTAGGCCAACCACCCTTACATTTTTCTCAGATGCCACATTTGAGGGTTTCAAGATGCTTTATAACATGTAATCAGAAAACCGCAGGTTCGACTTAACCCCATACTGAATCATGGAAAAGTTTCTGTTTTATTTTTCTTTCAAGCAAATGGGGCTCAGATGTGTATTATGATAAGGCAAAAGAGAAGCTAGCCACACCATGGCTGCAAACACCGGTTGCATATGAGGAAGAGAAAATCTCCATCACATGCCATACCGGGTTGCCACACCAAGATACAGGCTGGGTCATCTCAATGCCTGAATTGGTTAGCCCAAATATATAAACATCATCATCACTGCCACGTTATGTATCTTCCATCAACCTTGTCAAAAGAATACACGCGCACACACATAGAGGAAAGCCAGAGATGTCACTATATGTAACTTAAATCCTTTTCGCTTCTGCTTTTTTCATAAACAAAAAGGTTGTTGGTTATTTATTTGTTTTGATAATGGAGGAAAATCAATGGCGGAACGGAGGGGCAACCATCGTTTTAATGAAAATCCCAATACTCTCTGTTTTGCCTCATTTGTTTCTTTCTTATCTGGGCTAACCTTCGGGTTACTTTCTTAAATCGAGACTTACACGCGGCTTCGGGTTAAAGTGAGGGCTCAGATTTGCTGTAAGTTTTGACAAAGCAAAAGAAAAGGCGACGTTGTCATGGCTGCAGACACCGATTTGCTATACAAAGCCATACCGGGTCACCCTGCCAAGATACGAGCCGGATCCCCTTCACAACATCAGTATCCGGTAGCAGCAGCACAAAGAGAGAGGAAAAAGAAGAGGAATATATTAGGGGTGTGTTTGGATGAAGTTTTTCTTTTTTTCTCTTTTCTTGTTTATTTGAAAGGGCTGTTGGTTTTTTGGGTAACAATGGAGAAATCATAGGCATAGCAGAGATGCGCAACCACCCTTTACAAAAAATCGCTCTCTCTTTAAGAAGCACCAGTGATCTAGTGGTAGAACAGTACCTGCCACGATACAGACCCGGGTTCAATTCCTAGCTGGCTCAACTGGTTGAGCTGTGAGGAATCCGTGCACTTCATGAGGTGATGCGGGTCTCAGCAGTTATCTGATTACTGGACAGATACAGTAGTGCATCTGAGCTCTTCCACCTTTTTTTCCATCAAAAGCAAAAACTCACTATCTCTCTGATGCCTCATTCTCTAGGCTATGCTCAACTCTTTGCTTTTCTGGTAGAAGAACTTTGGGTAGGCTCAGATTCACTTTTTTCAGATAACAACCAAAAAGCTTTGGAAAACGCCATGGCTGCAAGCATCGGTTAGACTTATGAGAGATGAAACACCAAAAATGGAACTTTTCCCCCACTCACAGACCCACTGAGCTGCCACGCCATGTAACAGTTTTCTTCAGCTCAATTTAGTATATATCTGATTCAACTTCACAGAAGACAAAATCTTCATAGCCTAACATAAAATGAAACAGAGGGAACAACAAGAATAGGAATACAAAGAGGTCATTATGTATTTTCACCATACCGTATTTCTTTCTCAAAACTGCTGTGATTATGCTTTCGTTGAGCTAAGGGTCAATCAGAAATAGTCTCTCCACCTTCACAAGGTAGGGTTAAGGTTTGCGTACACACAATCCTCCCCGGACCCCATTTGTGGGATTACACTGTGTTATTTTTACCAGAAGGGTGGTTTTGTAATTGGATAATCTCACTGGAGTGATCATCGGGGTGGAGAATGACAGAGAGGAGCAAAATCACCCACTGAAACTCCCCAACAGCTCTCTGCTTTTGCCGCAGCCTCACACTTAAACTAATGAGACACCATTTCTTAAATCACACAAAAATTGAGGCTAAAATCTGTGTTTAAGTTCAGGCGAAAAGAGAGTCCAACAACGCCATGGCTGCAGAAACCACCAGAAAATCTGGGGACATGGCCTGCCAAGATACGGGTTGGATAGTCTCAAATGCCCTATTTGTAAGCTCAGAAGAGAATGAAAGGTTTAAAGAATCATCACCGCGTTGTTCAAGCCGTCAATCAAGCTCACCACCACCAGCATAACTTGTCTCTAAACCCAAAGAATCCATCAGACTATAAACTCATAGAGAAACAGAGCAAGCACCCTTAGGAACTCCTGCATTCTCAGAGTCACAGAAGCCTCAATTTTCTAGAACAATCCAGGTAACAGGGTAGGCTCAGATTCTCCAAAGAGCTTTAAACACAGTGGGCTGTTGGTTGTTTGATAACGGAGGAAAATCAACGGCGGAACACAGAGCAAACTTTTTCAAATAAACAGAGGGCTGTTGGTTGGTTGATAAATGGAGGAAAATCAATGGTGGAACACAGAGCAAAATTTATGTATTTCGGCTATGCCTTAAATAGCTGTCCTCAATTCGGCTATTGCACTTCCCCCACCTCACCATGGCTGCAAAATACCGGTTGCATGTGAGAGACAGAAGTCTGCATCACAGGCCATCCTGGTTGCCACGCCAAATACGGGTCGGTTCATCTAACTTGTTGCATGCTTTGCCGCTTTTCTTCTCATGTTTAAGTAAGTAAATTCTGCAAGGATCAAACTTGAATAAAAAATCCCATCAAAAAACATTGCGTTGCAAAAGTCAATTGTTTAGTAGTCAGAAACAAAAGATTATCCCACCATATTCCCATCTGAAATAACAGAAAGCAAGCTGAAAATTTGAAAGGCAACAAATTGGTCAATCACAGATGATAATAACAAGGACTTTAAGGCTCAGATCTGTATTCCGTCTCAAGCACCACCAGGCTGCAAATCCCGAAACCGGGCTGCCCCGCCAAGTTACAGGCCCACCGACTTCCTGAATCCATCTAGCTCAGAAATATCAATAACTTAAGGGGCCATGAGGTCCTTTTGGTAAAAATAGCACGGGCTAGCCAGTTTACGGACTGGTCATACAAAAATCGCCAGCGTTTACAAAGTCATTGAAAAATCGCCACTATTTTGCTGCAACACGAAAAGTTCCAGCATATGCTGGAGATCGGTGCACCTGTGTATGAACTTACAGCATATTATGTTGGACCGGTATATTATACTGGAACTCCAGTATAATATGTTGGAAGTCCAATATAAGATGCTGGAGTTCAAGTATACTTTGTTGGAACTCTAATGGAATATTTTCCGGATTTTGAAGAATTTTCGTTCAAATTTATCTTCACATGAAAAGTGGCTAAATTTCGATTACTTTTGAAACTGTGGCTATTTTTGATGACCACTTATAAATTTGGCTATTTTTGAATTTCTCACGTCCTTTTGATGCCCCATTACAATTTCTGCTCCATATTTTCATTGCGTAGCTTTTTAAAGTAACAATACAACTTGTATTATCACTTTTAGCCTGCGCCAGAAACTATTTACATTCCATAGCCGAAAAAGTGTACAAAATTTGTATAATTTTTGCATATAACATACAAAATGTATATATATACAAAAAATATAAAAAAATATACATTTTTCGGATATTATGTTGAGAGCGGCTATACAATGTCATTTTCCCTAAAAACAACCTTGTAACAGAGAAAAAGACGGATAAATGCATATCCATCAAGAGGTGGATTTAGGATTTGAACTTTATCGGTTCGAGTTCGAAATTTTATCACAACACATTTGATTTAATGGGTTCGCAATCTATCATTTTCAGCAAAGACTTGCATTCGACATATCCCAATATCGAATCAACAACAACAACAACCCAATATAATCCCACTAGTGGAGTCTGAGGAGGGTAGTGCGTACGCAGACCTTATCCTTACCCTGGGGTAAAGAGGCTGTTTCCAATAGACCCTCGGCATCCTTCCCTCTAAGAACTACCCACCTTGCTCTTGAGGTGACTCGAACTCACAACATCTTGGTTGAAAGTGGAGGGTGCTTACCATCAGACCAACCCACCTTGTCCCAATATCGAATCATGGAAAGTTTTTTTTTTTCCAAGCAAATGGGGCTCAGATGCGTGTTATGATAAGGCAAAAGAGAAGCCAACCACGCCATGGCTGCAAAACACCAGTTGCATGTGAGAGACAGAAGTCTCAATCACAGGCCATACCGGGTTGCCACACCAAGATACATGCCGTGTTATCTCCATGCCTGGACTCGTTAGCCCAGATATAGAAATATCATCATCACCGCCTCTCTATGTACCTTCCATCAACACCATAAGAAACACACACAGAGTCTCAAACACAAATATATAGTAAAAACAGAGATGCCAGTGTATATAACGAAATTCCTTTTTGCTCTTACTGCTTTTTTCATAAACAAGGCTGTTCATTTTTTCAATAAACGAGGAAAATCAATTTCGCAACAGAGAGGAGCAACCAACCTTGCAAAGAAAATCCAAACTCTCTTGTTTTTGCCTCATTTCTTTTTTTTCTTTCTAGGCTAACATTTCGTTGCTGGGGAGATTCTTTTGGTTTTTTCACCTTCGCATTTCCCATCCCTAAAAGGGCCAGTTATTTTCTTAAATTCAGACTGGTGAGGTGTCTTCAGTTAAAAGCTCTCAAAAAGAAAGGGTATATGCCAAATTATGCACACCCCTAGCTGCAAGCATCAGTTAGCCTTATGAGATATAGAAGAAAAACCATAAAGATGGAATTTTTCCCAATATCTCACAGACCCATCTGAGCGGCCATGCCAAGATAGAGTTTTTTTTCCAGCTCAATAGAAAAATATGTCTGATTCATCTTCCACAAAAAAAAAATAAAAAAAATCATAGCTTTATCGTACATAAAATGAAACAGAGAGAGTAACAAATGAGGCTCATATCTCACTATGATCAGGTATTGAGTTTCTCAAAACCGCCATGGCTGCAATCTCCTACAGATTGCCCTNACAAAAAATGGAGGCTCAGATTTGTGTTATAACCTCAGGTAAAAAAGAGAGTCCAACGACGCCATGGCTGCAAAAACCCACTGGGAGCATGCCCCGCCAAGATACGGGTCGGGTTATCTCAAAATGCCCCGATTGATTAATAAGCTCAGAAGGGAATGACAAAATCATCATCGCCTCTTTTTAGACGCCGATTATACTCACCGCTACCGCTTCCACCAGCTCCGCCGGCGACATTGAATACTCCGGCGAAAGCATTATAAAGAAGAAGAAAAAAGTGGAAGGGCTGTTACTAATGCTATTCTTATACACTCTACCAAACGACCCCTTGATAAAATCGATAAAAAGGGCTGTTGTTTGGGTTTTTACAGTATATGGAGAAATCATTGGCTAATTGCAGAGAGCAGCCAACCACCCTTTCAATGAAAAACCTTAACTCTCCGTAGCCTCATTCTTTCCCTTCTGAGCTTTTGGTTTCTTCATTTCACCAACATTTTTGTTTATATAGTAGTACTAGTATTAGTGTCAAATATTTTATTTATTTGAATTATGTATCAATAGTCCTACAATTTAAACATTCTTGATAAATATAGATAATTATTAGATATAAATTAAGAAATACTACATGAAAAAAATTAACCATTTCTCAAATTTTCTAGTTATAATTCTATTTTCTTTTTTGGTACCATTCTCGGCAGTTTCATTGGATCCTGAAAATAGTTAGGAAGTAAAATAATAACTCATATCTATGGCAAAACAATCAAAGGTTGAGACTATGAAGGATTCTTTTGATACGACTTGACTCTTGTATTACTACTTGAACTCTTATTTGGTGTGTTGATATCTTTCAAAAAATATTTCTATTTTAAAATTTCAGTTTCTAAAATTTTATTTTTCAATAATAATTATGTTTATAATAATGGAAGTAAATATATTTTCCTTAATTCAAAAACTCAATTTAGTCAGGTATCTAAAAATTTAAATAATTCTTTAGCCAGTGAATTTATTTTTTCTAGTATTCCAGTTTGATATTTGACATTAACCATATTGAACATCTGAGTTATTTGAATTATATATAAATAACCTTAAAATTTAAACCTTCTATATAATTATAGATAATCGTTAGATATTAATTAAGAAATACTACATGAAAAAAAAACTAATATTTTTTCAAATCTCATAGTGATTTATTCAAATCTAGCTATAGTGTTTTGAAGAACTATAATTATAGGGTTTTAGATGTGAAAGAGTTTAGAATTATATGGAGAATTTTTTTTTTCTTTTTTGCCAGAGGCAAAGTAATATTTAAATAATTAAAAAAATTAAAAAAAATTCTTAATATGATTGCATATGATCATTAACTGAATTAAGCATGATAACAAAAGATAAATGTCTTTTTATTTTTATTTTAATTCAAATTTTAAAACTTTATATATAAAATTCAAAATTATCTTTTAATTCAAATCAATTTTATATATATTTGTATTTGACTAAATATAATCAAATATAGAATAAAGTTACCATACATTATTAGCATTTATTAGTTTGTCACTTGGCTTAACCACAATGCTAATTATATTTGGTAACTTTATTCCTTTAATATATATATATATNTCCCTATTTTGAAGGTGCGTCTTGGCGTAACTGTTAAGGTTGCGGTCGTATGACCACGAGGTCACGAATTTGAGTCGTGAAATAGCCTCTTGCAGAAATGCAGGTAAGACTGCGTACGATAGACCCTTACGATACGGCTCTTCTCCGGAACTGCGCATAGCGGGAGCTTAGTGCATCGGGCTGTCCTTTTTTCTTCTTTTAACGAAAGAATGACTTTAAAAATGTTGCTTTCCCCTCCTCGAATTATCCATTGTTGTTTTTAAAAATAATTATCTCAAATTATTTGTCATTTTAAAACTTCAAAGCCAAATTAATTTTTTTTTTCATTTTAAATATTCAATGAAAGTATATTATATCTTAAAACATAATTAAGGGTAAAATAGCCATAAAAAGTCCCTTTCTAATTAATATTTCTTAAGGGCTGTATAACAAAGAAATATGACAGATAATTTGATGCGGGGGAGTAATGGTAAAAAATACTAAGGGGTCATTTGGGTTGAAGACAAGTTATGTGGTGTCGTTATACTAGATTAGTTATGTTGGAATTATTTTTTATTGACCGATTGATATGTTGTATTAATCTTGGAATTATTAATTTTACTACTTTATCATGCGATAACTTATTTTGGGATTCACCATTTACTAAGTATAAGTTATCCCGATAGTATTTTTAATCCCAGGATAACGTATCGATAAAGTATTCTAGAATTAGTAATCAAACAAGAGAAAAAGTGATACTAAATTTTTATTCCAGAATTATTTTGATTATTCATCGTACGAAACGACCCACCTGTATTTGGAGGTGAAATATATATGAAAAGCAAAAAGTAATTGTTCACTTTAAATACATTTGTGAACACAATTCAAGACAAAGAAAAATGTTGCAAATTACAATTTTAATATATATTTTTTGGTTTCCCACGTGGTGTTTGATATCTATATTGGAGCCCGACTATATCCGGATTTGCGTCGGGTAAGACCCTATTCGGGGGGTAGCGCTCCCTACTAAGGATTTTTTCATACCCTGTGGGAGGGGAAGTTTGTTGGGCACATGCGCATGTTGTCCTGCCAAAGACCCAATGACCTAATCCTATTCTCTTTTGGTTTCCATTCCTATTTGGAATTGGATTCGATTTATTCCTATTTTGAGTGGGTTTTGACTTTAAGAGAAAGCACCACTCATGATCTATAAATAGGACAACCTTGGAGAATTATTTTATGCTCATTGATACAAGTCTTTGAAAGACTTAAGCACATAAGAGTGATTTTTGAGAGAGTTTTCGCCAAGAGAGAAGAGAGAAGAAAAGTATTTGTTTTGCTGCAGATTTCTATTCCGACCAACCAACTTCAAATCACGTTTTCTAATTCGTTAACCGTTGGATCGGGCTAAAATTTAACTAAGTGTTCATAAATCTTGATCTTGGATTTGAATGGTGCAGATCGGATTTGGAGGCTCGTAGAATCTTATTTTGAGTCTTGTACAACAACTTCATTTTTATGGATTCTCCTCTTTCTTCAATTGATTAGTTGTTGCTCTTGTTGCTATTATTGCTCCGTGTTTGGCACTTGTTGTGTAACCAATTTGGAGAACTTTTGTAACCCTCTTATTATTATAGTGGAGCCTTTTTGGATCTTTGTGATGTCGTAGTTTCTACCTTCGATTTGAAGGGTTTTCCACGTTAAAAATTGGTGTTCTTTATCTTCTTTATTTTCGGGTTTGCCTCTTCCTCGACATAACAGTGGTATTAGAGCCTTGGTTATTTATCCGGATTGTTACGGAATGAAGACGAATATGAGCAAGATGATATGTTTAAATGGGAGAAATTACAATGTTTGGAGAAGCAAGATGAAAAACTTGTTGTTCGTGAAGAAGATGCATTTACCCGTTATTCAGCTCATAAACCCGAGAGTATATCCGATGAAGATTGGAATTTCGAGCACCAACAAGTATGTGGATATATACGACAATGGGTTGAAGATAATGTCCGCAACCATATTGTGAACGAGATATATGCGAGATCATTGTGAAAAAAGCTACAGACTCTTTATGCTTCAAAAACCGGGAACAATAAATTGTTTCTACTAAAACAATTGATGACCTTTAAATACAAGGAAGGCAACCCATCCTTGATCACATAAATAATTTTTAGGGCATCCTTAATCAGCTGTCTGGAATGGGAGTTAATTTTGATGATGAGATACAAGGACTTTGGCTTCTTAATACCTTACCAGACTCTTGGGAAACTCTTCGTGTTTCATTGATAAATTCAGCTCCTGGAGGTAAGGTGACCATGAAATATCCAAGAGTGGTGTGTTGAACGAGGAAGTAAGGAGAAAATCTCAAGGTTCATCCAAACAAGAAGATATCTTGGTTACAGAAGACCGGGGGAGTGATAGAACAAGAGGCTCGTGGAATAGGTAAAAGTAGAAGTAAGTCAAGGTCCAAATATCATAATATTACATGCAACCACTGTGGTAAGAAAGGACATATCAAAAGGTTTTGCCGCAAGTTAATGCAAGACATTAGAGAAGGAAAAAAAGTTGAAAATAACGAGAACAATGTTGCTACTATTGTTCGAGATGACCTTCTTTTTGCTTATGATAAAAATGTCATCAATTTGGTATCCCATGAGACGAGCTGGATAGTAGATTCTGGAGCTACCACACATGTCACACCAAGAAAAGGTTTTTTCTCATCTTATACTCATGTTGATTCTGGAGTGTTAAAGATGTGCAATACCAGTGAAGTTAAGGTGTTTGGTGTTGGCACAATTTGTTTGAAAACTAATAATGGTTCAACATTAGTTCTTCAAGATGTCAAGCATGCTCCAGACTTTCCTTTCAATTTGATCTTCGAGGAAGATTAGACGATGAAGGTTACCATAATGCCCTCTTTTTAATGGCCAATGGAAGCTCACCAAGGGCTTGTTAGTAGTAGCTCGAGGAGTCAAGTCTGGTCAATTATATGTGACACAAGGCTCTATTCTTAATGACTCCATAAATCTGGTGGAAAGTGATACTTTATCAGAATTGTGGCACCGAAGACTGAGTCATATGAGCGAGAGGGGGATTACGTATTTGGCTAAGAAAAGTTTGCTTTCTGGAGTGAAACAAGCAAAGCTGAAAAGGTATATCCATTGTTTAGCTGGCAAACAGAAAAGGGTTTCCTTTCATAGCCATCCTCCCTCAAGAAAGTCCGATTTATTGGAGCTAGTACACTCTAATTTGTGTGGTCCTTTTAAAGTAAAGTCAAAAGGTGGTTCACTTTACTTTGTGACCTTCATTGATGATCATTCTCGTAAGCTTTGGGTGTATCCTTTGAAATCTAAAGATCAAGTACTTAGCATGTTTAAGGAATTTCAGACCTTAGCTGAGAGACGGATGGG